AAAATGATTTTAGACTATGTAAATAAAAGTTCTCTTTGTTAATAGTTTGAATGCTCTTTTCCTAATAAGTATATTATTATTTTTCTTTTTAAACACATTCTTTTCATAATAAAAATATCATAACCCATCCTTAATTTTCATATATATAATATCATAATAATTCATCATTAATTATTTATATAATAATAAAATTATTTTTCCTAATATATAAAATATGAAATTGTTTTATTTCTCAATATTTTCAAATTGAAAATGGATAAATATTTGCTAATATAATCATTAGTTTTAATGGTAAGATGCAGAAATCATAGTGATGTAAAGGAACACACAACTAGGCACCTTCCTTGGATCCATCCAGATCTTGTTGTTGAGAATACAATTACGTGCTCTCTTTAACGGCTTAAACTTTTAGATGAGATAGTTAAAAATACTTCAACATGGTATCAGAGAAGACATTGTTGGGTTTAGCAAGGTGTGAATGAGAAATAAAAAAGAGAAAATGGAAAGAGGAAGCACCAATGAAAGTGGGGAACCAATTTTGGAGGGAAAATGAAAAGTCATTGCAAAGTGCAAATGAAAAGTCATTTTTACCATATTGGTAGAAGAAAGGAAATTGTTGTCTTTATATTAGGAAACACTTCCATTAGTTCTTAAAGGGTTAAGAAGAAGGTGCCCCCTCGCGCCGTCGTCGTCGTCGCTCGCTCGGCCTCGGCTTTGGATTTTGATGTGATTGATTGATAATATTTTTGGACAAAATTTATTTAATCAATCTTGTTAATTCATTTCTTTTCTCTTATAAATTAATTCAGAATGTTAGTTAAATAACAGAATTAATTTGGCGCAACATAATTTATTTGAAATTCATATGCAACGGTAATAACGTTCTGAAGGGACCTGTTCCTTCCGCAAAGTCGTTATTTTTCCGGTTTTCATCACTGAAATTTTTTCCTCTCTACATACATTTTCTTACATAAACAAAATTGTCGATCGACTGAGTCTGTGTGTGCTCTTGTTGCTGTTCTTGCGTTCGCTAAAGTTATTGAAGTTTGAGTTACCGCTACTTCTTTAACAGGTTAATCCGTTTTATCTTGGGAGGAATTAATCTGCAACCTCGGGTACAGTGAGGGGATTAAATTTCTTAAGGAAACACAGTGGTTTCTGTGGACTCGGATTAAAATCATTCTGTCTATTTCATCTACTTTCTGTTTCTATATTATTGGACTAACCTGAATACATGAGATAACAATCTTAAGAAATTTAATTAGTTTCTGTATTTGAGGTTTCTGGAGATTAAAACCTTTATGGTTTTCTACTCTGTTTGAATTTTTAAAATTCATTCGATTAACGATTAAAAGAACATAAAAACTTTATCGTTAAATCAGAAACAGTCTGTGTAAGGATTTATTCTTTACTGGTAGTATTTCACATACTAAATTGTCTGCCATTTGTGACAGAAAAATGACTAATTCAAGTCAAGTAAATGCTGGAACAGTAAGTGCTGCAACAACATCGGTTGTACACAATCGTTCAACTGCAGCCCTAGCACCGGCTGAGAAACCTGCAAAGTTTTCTAGAGTCGACTTCAAGAGATGGCAGCAAAAGATGTTCGTCTATCTGACTACGTTGAGTCTGCAGAGGTTCATTAATGAGAACGTTCATGTTATGTCGGATGAAACTCCGCCTGAAGAACGATTCTTGGTAACAGAAGCATGGACACATTCTGATTTTTTGTGTAAAAATTATATTCTGAGTGGCCTGCAGGATGATCTGTACAATGTGTACAGTAATGTCAAAACCTCAAAAGAACTCTGGGATGTTTTAGAAAAGAAGTATAAAACAGAGGATGCCGAAATGAAGAAGTTTATTGTGGCAAAGTTTTTGGACTATAAGATGATAGACAGTAAGACCGTAGTCACCCAAGTTCAAGAATTGCAGGTCATAATTCATGATCTCCTTGCTGAAGGTATAAATTTATTTAATACCTATGTTGGAAATATTAAGTTTATTCTTAATATTCACATAATCTTTAATGTAGGTTTGGTTGTGAATGATGCTTTTCAAGTGGCTGCAATTATTGAGAAGTTACCTCCGTTGTGGAAAGACTTGAAAAACTACTTGAAACATAAACGCAAGGAGATGACTGTTGAAGAGCTTATGGTAAGACTGAGAATCTGTGGAAAACGTGGTCATAAGGCTACTGAATGTAGGGGTCC